GCGAAAGATCTCTAAGTATACTCTTTTGCCTACCTTTGGACAAATGTCCGATGAAGATAGTACATCGCTCGACCTCTGAGATCTTCCCCTTCTTGATCAGCACGTCGGAGATCTTTTGGAAACGCATCCCAAATGCCCGTACGCTCTCATCTTCATCTTGAGTCATTGTTTCAAGGTCCTTGATGGAATACTTGTTATCCTCCAATTTGTAAAGCTCAACGAGGTTCTCCTTGCACGTAGTCCATTTCCCATCCTTCAGTCGAGCTTCGTTAACTTCCCTACCAAGACTTGGGTCCACATTAAATAGGAAGTTCTCTATAATCTCTTCCTCCGACCACTGACTCCGGCTGGCGTGAAGCTCCCACTTCTCCAGATATTCTGTGATACCATAGCCCCTGAAGGTAGGAGGCTTTGAGACCTTGTACGTAATAATATAGCGGTCCTTGCTCTCGTAAGGGAGCGGATGTGACTCCCCTGTCTGGGGGTCGAAGACTCGCCTGGACGGCGCCCTGTCTCTATCTCTGTCCCTCCAATAGGAATCCCTCAAATTCTCTCTCCAGTCGTCTCTGTACCTGTCCGCTATGGTGTCCCTCCGCTCGTACTCGGGGGAGCGCCGCCTCGTCGCTTCTCGTCGTCCGCTCGAGGTACCCGTCTTTAGAGCCTCCTGCGGCTCTGTCGCAACTGGTTCGCCTCTCATGCCGGGCCCTCCGTCATTGGTTTGGTCAGCCCATCTCAGCGGTGCTTCTTGCCTAATTCGTTCCTTCAGATCCCTCAGTGCTCGATCGGGCGATGCCCTGTACTCCTCTCCCGCTTCGCCCGTGGTCGGTTGTGGCCCCATCATGTCGGGTTCCATTGGACCGCCAGAAGATGCAGTTAGGTATTCTAGCCAACTGTTACAGCCCGACCCTATGACAGTCGCTGCAGCCCGGACATGTGACAGTCGCGGCAGCCCGGACCTGTTACAGTCGCGGCAGCCCGGACCTGTTTCTTTGTCACGACTCGCGTCCGCCTCCAATCTTAGCTCTCGACCGCCTTGATTACCACCTTCAGTATCCCGTACCGGTCGCAGATCTCGTATTTTCTCTCTATCCCAAGAATCCCTGTGTCTAAGTAACCTCTCCTTCGGGATCGGTCAACAAGGTCGTGCCTGTCCGGATCCACAGTACGCCCGTGACTGGACCTCTATCCTTGAGACAGATTGCAATCCCAAACCTAGCCAATGTCTCCTGATCAACACTCCTCAAGAGTCCCCAAACGTCTCTCTCCGTCCTCCTTGCTAGTTCTCCTAGCCCTGTCTGAATCGGTTAGCCCGCTAAAGACCCTCCTACTGTCGCCCAATGTCGCCCATCGACCTTTCTAGCTTCCTCTATCCTTCCAAGAGCTTCCAATTTCTATTTCCACTACGTTATCTCCTCAAAGGTTATGAGGTCATCTGTCTAACAGCTGAGGTAAGTTAGTGCTATAACGACTTGTAACCTCATCGCCGAGCGCTCCAATATGTCATAAAATGTCTCAAAGTCCTCATTATCTCCTCCTTCGTCTATCGCCTCTAAAGTCTTTATCGTTTCCTTCCAGTACCGGTTGTGAGCGGCTAACACCCTGAGTATTGCACCATCTGTTACAACTCTTCCTAACTCTCCAGCTTTCCTGGTTTCGCTTATCTTCAACCTCTCAGCCTCTCTGGTCGTCTCGTACCATGCCCTTATCCAAGACCGCCCTTCGAAGGGTGTTACTCGGAGTACGTATTTTATCCTCCGTCCTCCTTCTATTCTTGTCCCCCTTGCCTCACACAGGGCACGGCGGAAATACTCTGCCTCCTCAACTATGCACAGTCTGGTATGGAGCTGGAGTTCTATAATCACTAACACTAATGGTCCGTCCAGTCTCCCTACCACATGTAATGAGTACCGATCCGTCGTGTGTAGTGCAGTCCCGCTCATGTCCTGTCGCTACTCCCCTGCGTTACTTTGTCTTCCGTTGTCTCGCTCTCTGCAGATCGCTTACCAATTTCTTCGCGTGATACGCTTCTAGCCTTTACCTTCTTCAAAAAGTATGATCTCCACGCCTGGATAATCTCTCTCTCCTCCCTAAACAGACTCTCTAACTCTCTCGTCACGAGTTCATCCCTTCGCAACTTGCCCTCGTCTTGACACGACCAGATCTCCCTTAACTTGTCCCCCAACTTCTTTACCTGGTTCAAGAGTGGTTCTTTAACGCGC